ACTTGGTTAAATTCTCGGATATTTATCTTGGTATTTAGCCAAATAATTAAAGTATTATTTTTAATCGCTATATTTGTTAAAAAGCCGAAAATGACATAATAACTCTAAAGAAGCTAATACCCAGCATTTCGGCAAACATCTCGGTACTTATCCATTTGGTATTTAACCAGCAGCAACCGAAGTAGCCAGGATGGGTGCCTAGGCCCCTCCGAAAGGGTAAAATGTTGGATATTTTTAAGGAATTTTACTTCAAAAATCTCTGTTTTTGTTGATAGCACTTATTTCTTGATGAAGACGCATTTCGCAAATATAATTTTCAAACATTAAATTATATTATATTATATTATATTATATTATATTATATTATATTATATTATATTATATTATATTATATTATATTATATTATATTATATTATATTATATTATATTATATTATATTATATTATATTATATTATATTATATTATATTATATTATATTATATTATATTATATTATATTATATTATATTATATTATATTATATTATATTATATTATATTATATTATATTATACTAGCTGGCCCGGTCCGCGTTGCCGGCCCGTACCTTTTGTCTATTATGCATATTTGTCAAAGCATAATTATTCAAAGATATGAATGATATAAGTGTTCGCATACTGGTCGATTAAAAGGCTTTTTAAATACCTGTACCCATATTTAAGCCGTGGGCTTCAATATTTAAACCGTGGACTTCAAAGGTGTGGATGTCCTATACAAATCTATTAAAATGTATATATCAATCTTATCCCCATGTAAGGGATCAAATTAATTTTTAGTATGGTAAAAATCGTAGCATAATTTTCCATTCAAATGAGCAGTAATTTGGAATTTACTGTATTTTGTACACCTCTTAATTGAGGGTTGAATGAATTAAGAATAGCCAAAGTAAATTACTTTTTTAAAGCCATTAGCACCTCAGATTGTCCATTAGAGTTCTTATAAGTCCCTCTAACCTTGTCGGTCTGTTTGTCCGCCAAAAAGTGGTCTTGAGGGGGTACTATTATAGGGAAAAAATTCTAAAATTTGTAGGTATGTTCAAATTTTTGTGTAAGATTTTCACCCCCAAATACACATTTTTAGCCAAATCCTTTGAAATATGGTAAAATCAGGAGGTACTTTTATATGGGCATTACTCCGAGACATTGACCTATATTGAAAACATTCTTCTAGCCATTATAATCCAATATGACAAATAGAGACCAAATCAAAAATATAGCAGAACAACAACAACTGAAAAAAATTTCGCGTGATTTAAATGAGTAAAAATAGTTTTATCCACCATATTTTTCATCATAGTATAATTCAATGACGATTCAACAAATATTCGGTCCCGTGCTAATTTCATATATTTGTAATTTGTTCATGTTTCCACAATTTATTTCATATAGATCTATATCCCAAATATACGTTTCCAACCAATATTGTCTTGGGGGTTACAAATCCAATAGAATACAAAATTTTATTTTCTGACCACACATTATATGTGAAAGTGGACTTGGGTATACTCCAATGTGGGGACTTTACTTAAATAAATTCCTATGTGGCAATTATCTGTATGATGGTTCCCTAACCCCTTAGAGACAATGATGCCAAATATGGGCCAAGCAATGAAAAAAGTGGCCAAGACCCCAAAAATAGCTTAAATCATATGATGGTTATATAAATATGAAATCGGGATGTACCCTTATCGTGAGTTATGATCGATATCATGACCTGCAAAAGTGGTTTAAGGTATCTTGAATGTTTGTGAAGAATTTCTGGAAGGATAGAAATCCTTTTCTTACTAAGAGTCTCATTCCCTCTACTATTTTCCACCCTTTATATTTGGTATTTTACTGATTGTACTCCCAAAGAATTTTGCATTGGACGGATTATTGTTACATGAAAGAAGTAGGTCCACGCTTTGAAATGAGCTCCATTTGGCTTTTTCTGTCATTTTTGGTTGTTTAAATGTGTTCGCATCTTCCATCTGAACCACGATGTCGGAACTGTAATCGAAAATTAGATGTCAGTTAACATCGTATTTCGCACTTATTTCATTTTATTTTTTGGTGAAAAATTGTATATAGTGAAAAATTATTCTTTATTTTGTTCACAAAAAATCCACTGAATTCAATATGATAATACAATTTGAAAAAAATGACAAAAGAAGAATAACAAATTGAAAAAATCTTCAACCTGTTCGCTGATTTATTACAGCAAATGTTTAAAGACCATTACTATCATTTTAAAATTCGATTCCACTGAAAATTTTTTCGATTTTTTCCCGATTTGAGAATTTTTGCAATGAGATCTCTTTTCCGTGATTTTTTTAGCTATTTTGACAAAGTAATTATTTTTTAATTAATAATTATCTTTCTTTTGGTGTGACCGCGTTAAATTATTTCGATATCATCTATTCCGTTTCGCCACCATATAATTCGGTACTACGCTTCCATGTAACCCGCCATCAATTTCAATTCTCAAGAAATCAAGTCGATTAAATAAATTGGTATTAATATTTGAATTCAAAAATAAAATATAAAAAACACTACAAATGTACATTAGAAAAAAGTAAGTCAAAATGGAAAAAAATCATACAAAATAAAACATTACTATTGTACATTTGAAAAGTCAAAATGAAAATGTTAATATATCACATTTTTACGCGATTTTTCTGGATATTATCCTTTTCGGAGAGGAGACAACTCCGAATTTGTGTGAATCGTTAAAATCAGTCCAGCTGTTCTTAAGTTATAAGCGTAGTAACTAACACAACTTACATTTATATATATAGATTATATTATATTATATTATATTATATTATATTATATTATATTATATTATATTATATTATATTATATTATATTATATTATATTATATTATATTATATTATTATATTATATTATATTATATTATATTATATTATATTATATTATATTATATTATATTATATTATATTATATTATATTATATTATATTATATTATATTATATTCAATTCAAATAAAGATTCATGTATTTTTCATAGGGTAAGTTTACCAGTAGTCGGCACTTTTAGGATTTTCGTTTTTTTCAATCTTTCAACATTCTGAGTAAAATCTTTTAATTGCAGAAAAATAAAGTTGTGTAGATTCCAAATTTTGTTTAGTTTTCGAAATAATAAACAACAATTGAATGTGTTTTTATTAAATTGGCAAAATTTGCAATTTTACTAAAAAAGTAGTTTTTTGCCAGTAGTCGGCACCATTTTCCAATGCTCGGCATGTCTATTTGCCAGTAGTCGGCATATGGAATTTCAGTAAAAAAATATTTTTTTGTTTATTTTTTAATTCAAATAGTATAAAATAATGATATATTACTAATTCACAGTTTAATCCAGAATTCGAAATTAATTTCGTTTTTAAATAGTGTTTTATTTAATTATCATTCTAAACCAATTATATTTTTAATTTAGAAAAGTTGGTCAAAAAGCACAAATAAAAGCAACTGCCGACTCAAAACTATTTTTTTATTTGAGTAGTTTTTGGATTATTTTTTAATACTTTTCTCAAGTTTTGGTGAAATAGGTCAAAAATGATATTTTTCTAGTAATAGGCACGCCCTACCGACTACTGGCATATCTTTTTTTTCTGTTCCTAATGTCGGCATTAAATAATGTAACAGACAAAAGCTTGATTTGTATGTTTTTAAGTTATAAAAGTGATCTTCAGACTGTTATTTACTATTATTAAATATTTCTGATTCCAAAAGTATTAAATTTAATTTATTTAAATCGATTATTAAGTTGACGCCACCACTAATTTTTTCTTTACAAACAAGCACTATCGCACGCGTTGGAAGACACTCACTGACGAAAACCGTTATTCTCTCGTAAAAAATTATCGGAGCTCATTGTTTTTTACGGGCCTACCTTCTCTTCATTGTACCATGGGCTGTAGTAAGTATTCCGAACTATATATACGAAATTTGAAACAACTCCGGTGAATAATGCCGCAAAAATCATGAAAATACCGACTATCTGGGGTACCGTTATATGGGCGCTGTACTGAAACGTGGAACTATTGAGATAATTCTCTTCTAGGGGGTAAAGTACTCAGAAGGAACCCCTTGTGTGGATTTTAAGACAATTGCATTAATTTTTTTTTTTTGAAATCATCAAAATGCCGAATGTGGGGTGGTACCGTTATATGGGAGCTATACGATTTCGTGGACCTATATAGACAATTATCTTCTATGGGATAAAGTACCCACAAGGAACATCTTGTGTGTATTTTCAGACAATTGAAAAATGTGACTAAAATCACCAAAATACCGAATATCGGGGGTATCGTGATATGTGGGATATACGATATCGTAGACCTATATAGACAACAACTCCTTGTGTAGAATTTGAGACAATTCCATTAAAAAATGTAGCTAAAATCATCAAAATACCGAATATCGGGGGTTTCCGTTATATGGGGGCTATACGATATCGTGGACCGATATAGCCCATCTTCGAACTTGACCTGCCTATAGACAAAAGACAGATCTGTGCAAAATTTTAGACGGACGGACAGGCTTAAATCGTCTTAGAATTTTACGCTGAACAAGAATATATATTCTTTGTGGGGTCTAAAATTATTATTTCGATGAGTTACAAACGGAATGACGAACTTAATATACCCTCCCTACTATGTATGGTGGAGGGTATAATAAAAGTGAAATCAGACGATAGAGGAGCTATATCCAAATCTGAACAGATCACCAACAATTTTAATGGGATTAGATATTGGAACTTTGCAAATTTTTGTATTAATCGGATAATAAGAGTGACCTGTAATTTGCTTACGAAAACACGTGGACAGAGGAACTCGACACAGACCACGATTCTATGCAGATCACCAAAAGTATCAACAATTCTATCTTGTTTTCCTTTGAAAAATACAAACAAAAAACAAACAATATTGATTAAATAAAATACATTTCTTTATTAAATTATAAATTATATAACAAAACAAATAACAATAACAAGAAAAATGTTGAAATCTGTAGCTCTTTCTCCATTTAACGTTCAATAAAAATTCCAATCTCAATTGAAAATTGTTGATGGCAATTGCCGACCGGAAGGACGGCCACTATTTTTCGACGCACCAAATATATTGGATGATAGTGGACGATTGAATCGGTTTGGTTGTTGCTGTTGTTGTGATGGAATACGTCTAGGACGGAAAGCAACTGGACGTTCCACACGAGGCAACGTTAGTGACGTTTGGGGGAAGAGTTGTTGAGCTTGAAAGGGCTTTGGGCGGAAATTGATGACGCGTTCTGGACGAGGAACAGTTAAATGGGATACAGGTCTTAAGGGAGCATTAATGATGGCAGCTGATGGTATGAAACCGTTGTTGCTGGGTCGGAAGCTTGCCGCCTTGCCGGGTCTTGGTGGCACGAATTGCGAAGAAAATTGCAATGGTGCATTAATTACGGCAGCTGATTGTGGTTTAAAGCTGACCTGATTTGGGCGGAAACTTACTGCCTTGCCGGGACGAGGTGGCACAAATTTTGAAGAAATTTGCAAAGGTGCATTGACGGAATTAACAATTGGGGCAAATTCCGGTTCTGTGGCAGGAGGACCATAAGTCAATTCAGGTGGGCCATAGGTTTGTTCGGGTGGACCATAGGTTTGTTCGGGGGGTCCATAGGTTTGTTCGGGTGGTCCATATACAGCTGGTGGAGGTCCATAAGTTTCGGCCGGTACCCCATAGGTTGTTTGTGGTTCCGGTGGACCATAAACCTCATCAGGTGGTCCGTATATCAACTCCGGTTCGGGTGGCAGATACGTAATTTCAGGTTCTTCCTCCTCGAATGGAGGGTCAGGTTTTAATCCAGCCGGTGGATAGGGGGCTACTTGCTGTTTGATGGGTTTTGCCACAATCTTGCTGGGACCAGGAAAACGTAACCGTAATTTGTGCACCACTGGTTCCGCCAGTGTTGATGCGACTACTGCCGTTAAAAATAAAATACCCAACTGAAATTTGGCCGTCATTTTTACGTCCTTAATAATTCCGATTCGTTGTAAAATTGTAAGGAGAAGAAGAAGAAGTGAAAAAAAAAAACACCAACACCGTTCAGTTATTCCGTTCGATTGCAATGTTGGGTGTCAACTGTTTAGGTTGTTAATTTGGAAGCGCATTAAATACGCAATGTTTAATTAAATATTCATTGGTCTTTTGCATTGGCCCTCTAACCTTGAAATGAGGCGGTTGGTCGGTTAGTCACAAATAACGTTTTTTTTTTGGGCAACCTAACCATTTTTAACAAAATTGTTTTGATTTTTGTGTTTAAGAATTTCCAATGGTCAGTGTAAGAGACTGTGTGAGTGTGCGTGTGTTTGTCATACGCATCACAGCAATTGTAAATGTTAATGTTGTGTCCAAATTGGATACCCCATAACATTCAATTCTACAAAATAATAATTTTTTATTTCAGTCACTTGTGTTTTCTGCTTAAAACCTATTCATGGGAATATACAATGGAGGTGTTCTTTCAAAAATATGTTTTAGATTTTTGTTATGAATCATCAACTTTACATGATTTGATAGGTCCATAAAACACTATGTATGTATGTGGTATTGTAAACTAATGTTAAACAATTTTGTTTTGGCGATGAAACGTGTTTAGCACATTAATGGATTCAAAATATTTTTTTTTTTTTTGAAGTAGCAAGGAAATGGAGAATTAATTCTGACGTATACATTACAGTGTGAAGCATAAAGTATACGACCTCTCAAAGATTTAAGAGGGCAGGGCACACAGATAGGCTTTTCAAAATCCATTCTGAAGCAATTGACGGTGATATGAAAAAATGAGGATTAAAGTCAGGGTAGTGAAAAATAAATTTTTGGAATGAAAGTCTTTGGTGAATATAGGGAGACCCCCCAGCACCCAAAAGTCAGATGCGCCAATGGACTATCTTTTGAGAAATTGCGTGATGATTTTCTTTTGCTGGTGTACGGTTTACTTGATGAAATGTATGTTTAGGTATATCTGTTTCCGGCTTTGAATGTAAAATTCTGAGATGGCCTATTTTCAGTTAAATCTATCTAATATACAATATTCGTCGCAGTATGTATGGGATAGCATACATCAAACTCTGAACTGAACCCGGAATTTGTATTACAAACGATAAGACCTGATAATGGGTCTTTAGGAAAATTTGGACAAGTTCCTTACAGAATTCTGGTTTCAGTGTTTTGTAAATATTTCAAGGGTGATTTTTATGCCCTCCACCTTGAAAAGGATGGTATATTGGCTTTGTCATTCCTAAATATTCGTCGTAGACCCCATAAAGAAATTGCGTGATGATGATGAAAAAACTACAACCAACTTCAGACTGCTGTCATTTCTAAGCCAATCGTCCTACAGCTGTTAAAATTATTCCAGTGACAGCTCATTATATTGTTTACAAACGTACAAAAGCATTTTGGTGAGAATTTTCCAGAAAAAAAAGGTTATTCGTAATGGAATTCAAGCGTGAAAGTGTGATTTCTTTATATTTGGCTGGAAAACCACTAGTGGCTATCGTTAGAGCACTCCAGCATTTAAATGCGAATAAATCTTTTGTGTCTCGTACCATCGCTCGTTGCCGTGTTACTGGTAGCGTGGCCCGACGTCAAGGAAGTGGACGGAAGAAAGCAGCAACATCAGCAGAAAAGGTTCGAAAAGTAAAGAAGCGACTTGATCGAAACCCGCGACGCGGTGGCTGAACATATTGCAATATCACATTTGGCAAAATGAGCCATTGAAATTCCAAAAAGTGCTGTAAGTTCTTGCAACATAAAGAAAATAGACTCAAAAGAGCTAAAGACTTGCTTCACTTGGCCGAAAGTGTTGAACTGCCGAATTTGGGTTTCTCCGATAAGAAAACATTCGTCGTCCAGCAATTTGTAAACAAACGAAATGATCGTGTTTACTTGCCAAAGAGGTCAGCTGAAAATGTGCACCTTAGGTTGGCCACCAGAACTTAAGCGCCGGCCATGGTGATGGCTTGGGCCGCCATAACGGCATCAGAATAAATGCTGCATATTATCGCCTAAATATTCTGGAGGGTGTATTAAAGCCTTGGGCACGCAAACATTTCGGGCGCAGACCTTGGACATTCCAACAGGACTCAGCACGCACCACCCAAGAATGGTTACAAAATGAGGTTCCTCGCTTCATTTCCAGCGCACACTGACCACCAAAATCTCCGGATACCAATCCGTATTTGGGAAAGCCAGTTTGGCACTAAAAAATACCAAAGTGTCGATCACCTCAAGCAAGCGCTTCGTCAGGAATGCTGTTAAAATTATGACTTGTGTTTGTTGCAGTGTTTTTATCTCACCCTGTATATTCATGATCAGCATAAAATTCTAAGTGATTTTAAAAATGTCTGTCCGTCTGTTGGAATCATAATACAGCCCACAAGATTTGATTTGGAGCTTCAAAATTCAGCACAACAATTTGTATTGCGGGTAGGATGATTGGTATTAAAAATGAGATATATGGGTCCACGTTTTGGATATAGCCGCCATATAACGACCGATATTAGGCATTTTCATGATTTTCGCCACATTTTTTCATGAATTTATCCAAAAATTTGTATTTGTGGGTCAGAATGGGTTCTACTTTCGGTGGCGAAAAATTGTGTGTATAGGTCCAATTTGCTGTACAGCCCCCCATACAACGGTACCTACGGATATTCGGAATTTTGATGATTTTCGCCACATTTTTTTTATGGATTTGTCAAAAAATTGGTATTTGTGGGTCACAATGGGTTCTACTTTCCGTGGCGAAATATTGTGTGTATAGATCCAATTTGCTGTACAGCTCCCATATAACGGTACCTCCGGATATTCGGTATTTTGATGATTTTCGCCATATTTTTTCACGGATTTGTCTAAAAATTGGTATTTGTTGGTCATAGTGGGTTCTAGCTCTGGCGGCTCAACATTGAATATTTAGGTCCACGTTTTCCTATAGCGCACACATAATTATAACCACCAATACTTGGTATTTTGATTGATAGTCAAGATCGGGCATTGTCATGACAGGTTTCGGTTTTTGCTTCTCATCCTCGCAAAGATGACGATAATTGGTGTTGCTTCCCATTATGACTCTTGTCACAATTTCGCACTCTATATGGTTAAATGACGCCAGGGATAATGTCTACATTTAGGTTTGTTTTGCCAGACTTGTTTGGCCATATCTGTGACCTGTAATCTGTTATCTCATTTTCCGCAATGTTAATGTGGTAAGTGCAGGTTTCCATTGAAATCAGATGGCTATTGTGGATTTTCTTTATGTATATAAAACGATTTGGGCGCCATCTACCTAGCTAGCCTATGCTTAATCTGTTTGTTCGGATATTTCGGCATGATTGAAGAGCAATTTATCCTTTTCGTTTGCCTTACTTAGTTTTTCTTAAGGACACCTTTCCCAAGCGAATAGAACGAGCAGTCACTGATTGGGATTGGGATATTTTGCAAAATTAATTTCGCATAAAGTCCAATAAAGAAGATAGCAATTTGCCTCTCATCATAAAGACCATAAATACTAATTATGTCCCTTTTGTTTTTAAATTTCCTGATTCTTCGCCCCGATACCCCCGATATTCGGTATTTTGATGATTTTAGCCACATTTTTCAATGGAATTGTCTGAAAATCCATACAAGTAGTTCCTTGTGGGTACTTTATATCTCAGCAGAGAATTATCTATATAGGTCCACAATATCGTATAGCCCCCATATAACGGTACCCCCACGGTATTCGGTATTTTGATGATTTTAGCCACATTTTTCAATGGAATTGTCTGAAATTCCACAAAAGGAGTCCCTTGTGGACATTTTACCCCTTCAAAGAGAATTGTCTATATAGGACCACGATATCGTATATCCCCCATATAACTGTACCCCCGATATTCGGTGTTTTGATGATGTTAGCCACACTTTTCAATGGAATTGTCTAAAATCCCCACAAGTAGTTCCTTGTGAGTACTTCACCCCCTGAGAGAGAATTGTCTATACAGGTCCACGATATCGTATATCCCCCATATAACGGTACCCCCCGATATTCGGTATTTTTATGATTTTACCCACATTTTTCATCGGAATTGTCTGAAAATCCACACAAGGAGTTCCTTGTGGGTACTTTATACCTCGGCAGAGAATTATCTATATAGGTCCACGATATCGTACAGCCCTCATATAACGGTACCCCCGATATTCGGTATTTTGATGTTTTTAGCCATATTTTTCAACGGAATGGTCACAAGGGGTTCTTTGTACCCAAGGGGTTCTTTGTGAGCACTTTACCCCCCGACAGAGAATTCTCTATATAGGTTAATGATAACGTATAGCTCCAATATAACGATACCCCGCCATATTCGGTATTTTGAAAATCGACACAAGGAGTTCCTTGTGAGTACTTTACACGCAGACATAGATTTGTCTTTATAGGTCCACAATATCGTATATCCCCACATATCGGCACCTTCTTATATTAGATATTTTAAAGATTTTAAAAGAATTTTTAATGGACTTTATTTTTTTTTTTTGAAAATTTTCTAATTCGTTCCAAATGGTGGAGGGTATTCAAAGTTCGGCCCGGCCGAACTTACTGCTTTTTTACTTGTTTTCTTTTACGAAGAAGCCAGCCAATGACTAAAGCTAGTCAAAAAAGCGTTTGATGGATTCTCACTTTAAGACTTTGGAGAAAATCAATACAATACTTTTGTCCTCTTAAATGAGTTACCCTGTATAACAGAAATATGATATTTTTTTAATATTGTAATTTTATACAAACACTTCATTTTTATTGAAAATAAGCGGGTTTATTCCACTTTCGAATAAAGAAAACAACAGAAAACAATAAAAAATATCCCTAAGTACATGTCAATGCAAGGAAACTCTGGTCCTTACAATCTTTGGTATCTGGTTGTGTAAACAATGGCACTGGGTTGACGGATCTTAGCCACTCTCAAACGGGCTGGTACCGATGTGGGTGGTTGACGTCTTTGGGGGAAACGTTGATAGACCAGACGGGCGGGTTTCTGATCAAAAGTAGTGGAAACGGCAATGACGGAACCGTCGTCACTAAGTAAAACTTCTTCCTCTACTTCATCAACATCTTCAGCTTCAGCTTCTGCTTCTTCTTCCAACTCTTCTTCGACAGGAACTACTTCTTCTGTTTCCTGGGGAAATTCTTCAGCAACCTCGGTGGTGGATGTTGTTTCAGTTTCTGGTGGACCATAAACTGCGTCGGGCTGAGGTTCTTCGGGTTGTTGTTGGGGTTCAACTGCTTCTGGTGGACCATAAACTTCATCGGGTTGGGGTTCAGTTGCTTCTGGTGGGCCATAAACTTCATCGGGCTGTGGCTCAGGTGCTTCTGGTGGACCATAAACTTCATCGGGTGTTTGGGTCTCGGTAGGCAATTCAAATGGTACTTCAGGTGTAACCCCGGCTGGTGGATAACCGGTGGGTGCTGGTGTTGGTGGTGCCACTTCTTGGCGTGCTGACACCCGTCTTCTTAGAGGTTTTTGACGTATGGGATCAGCGGCTGCACATCCGATTGCCACAGCAAGAAAAACAATCAAAAATTTCTTCAACATTTTTTTTTTAAATTTTTTTTTCAAAATACCCGGAAACAAGAGTTAAGGATGTTTTCCGTTTTCTGTTCGATTGATAAGTACACTGATATCCGACAGATATTCTGTTCTTATATACAAACTGGCGGAAGTTCTTTTCCGGCTGTTATTTTATGACAGTTCTTATGGAGAATTTTAATTTACGAGCCTCGGCAATAGGTTTGTGGAGCAAATGTTATTGAAATACTTCTTCCTACTTGGGACTGAACATGTGTTAGTTTGTCGTACATGAGTGGTGGGAATTTTCAAAGTTCTTGAACCCATGCATTGACTTGGGCCTAGTTTCAGTGAAGCCAGCATTTATTTGGCTTTGTTTTTGCTTGAGGTTCGATGTCTGACAACGTTGGCTCATGTCGTTGGTATATCTATTGGCCTACGCAGCAGCACGTGAGACTTTTTTCAATGTGCATTGACCGCGTCTCCCTGCCTCCTCGCATCATACCGTGGACGCCACACATTATTGTTGTTATTGTTGGTATTATAATTCAAAGCATAATCGCTGAAATTTAAAAGTGTAATAATGGGTTTCCAACCTTGCGACACTGTTTTTTTTTTTCTTGTTTTTTGGTCGCTGGTGGATAAGTTCAATAATGCTCACCGTATACGTCAATAATCGATGATTATGTACAAGTTCGAGCAATAAATTGAAGAAATATTAATGGACACGTACAAACAAAATATATATATTATGTGGGTAGATATTACTTTGTATTAGCTAGTTGTGCACACCGAATTGTGGAAGAGACCGGCAAATTGGGGTTACTCTAAGAGAAATACAAATTGAAAAAGAGCTCTATACAAATTGCAAAGAGAATTTTTATTTGAAGGTCAATCGCTGCATTTTGTGTCATACCGTCAAAGAAATATTCTTGATATGTTCAAAAACCAAGAACAACGAATTTGAGTGGCTGGCCTGTCACTTGCTTAAATTGTGTTCGACTTGGATATTTTCCAAGAAGGACAGGCAAATGACTGAAGTTGATAGATTTAAATGATTTGTGGAAAATATTCAAGAATAAAAGACTTGGTTTAAGTGTATGATGTAGGTAGGTACAGAAGTACATTTTTATACCCTCAGCATTTGGCTACAGAGGGTATATATCATTTGATACGGTCAAAACGTGCCTAGTCGTTTTAGACCTTAGGTCTCTTTGGACCAAATCCGTTTCAGAACATTTGGAGTCGATCTAGCGATGTCCGTCCGTCTGTCTGGCTGGCTGGTGCGCACGATAACTCTCGAAGGGAGTATCCGATTTGGTCCAAACTTAGTACATCGTAATATCTTTGTCAAACTTAAATGGAGTTCGGAGATGGGCAATATCGGTCCACTCCTTCTGGTACCTCCCCCACAAAAGGTAAAAAAAAAATATTCTTTGCACAGAAAGAGAAAAGATAATCCGATTTTGCTTCAACTTTGCAAATCCTAATATTTGCGTCAGTACTCTGCCAGGTGTGAAAATGGACAATATCGGTCCACTCCATCAAGTACCTCCCCCACAAATGGTCAAAATTTTGAATAATTACAACTCTCATAAAATGTGATGTAAGAGTCCGATTGTCTTCAAATTTCACATATCCCAATATTTATATTAACCCAAAGTCTGGTGTTAAGATGAGTAATATCGGTCCACTACTTCTGGTACCTCCCCCACAAAAGGCCGAAATTTGCAAAAAATATATTTTTTGCACAGAAAGAGAAGGGATAATCAGATTTTTCTCCAGCTTTGCAAATCCTAATATCAGTTCTATATTAGGTGTAAAAATGGACAATATCGGTTCACTCCTACAAGTACCTCCCCCACAAATGGTCAAAATTTTGAAGAGTTACAACTCTCATAAAATGTGATGTAAGAGTCCCATTGTCTTCAAATGTCGGACATCCCAATATTTATATTAACCCAAGCTCTGGTGTTGAGATGGAATATATCCGTTCACTCCTTTTTTGCACAGAAAGAGAAACGATGATCCGATTTTGCTCCAACTTTGCAAGTCGTAATATTTGCATCAGTGCTAGGTCTGGTGCGAATATGGACAACATTGGCTCACTCCTTCAAGTACCTCCCCCACAAATGGTCAAAATTTTGAATAAAATGTGATGTAATAGTCCGATTGTCTTCAAATTTCACACATCCCAATCATTTTATTAGCCCAAGGTCTGGTGTAAAGATGGAGTATATCGGTCCACTTCTTCTGGTACCTCACCCACAAATGGTCGAAATTTTAAAAATATATATTTTATGCACAGAATGGGAAGCAATAATCTAATTTTGGAAAACATAACGATCAAAGGAAGCGAAATCCAACTCTCTTCAAATTTCACACATACAAGCATTTTTGCTAACACCAGATCTGTTGTGAAGATGCTATGTATCTGCGAACAACTGCTGGTACCTCACCCACAAAGGGACTCAATTTTCAATATTTTTATCTGTCATAAATTGCGAAACGACTCAGCGATTCTTTACAATTGATTTATCTATCTGCTATTATAATATTTATATCATAATTATTTAGGTCCGATACGAAATGAACAATATTGACACATTCTTTCAAAACCCCACTCCATAGAGGGTGAAGAGGGCTGAGGGTATACATCTGTCGGCAAAACCGACCGAAAAAATGGGTTTGGTGTTCTGAAACAAGGTCTTAGTCTTTGTATGACAAATGGGAAAGAAACCCCCCAACTTCATAGCTTTTGTTTTTATACCCTCCACCATAGTATGGAGGGTATATTAAGTTTGTCAATCCGTTTGTAACAACACGAAATATACATTATAGACCACACAGTATAAAAACAAAAGCTATTAAGTTGGGGGGTATATATATATATATATATATATATATATATATATATATATATATATATATATATATATATATATATATTGGTCAGCATAAAATTCTATGTCCATTAAGCGATGTCCGTCCGTCTATCTACCTGTGGAAATCACTCTAGCTTCCGAACAAAATGAAATAGGTTGGTAAAATTTTACTCAAATGTATATTATATCTGCAGAACTATTGGTATTGAAAATGGACAATGATGACATTATTCACCGTTTTTTTTTTTTAAATTTGAATATTTGTAAGGGCTTATGACAAAAGTTGCCTATGTAGGTCCACGTCGTCGTATATTCGGTATTTTTAAGATTTGAAAGGGATTTTAAACGGATTTTATTTTTTTTAATTGCTATTTTATTTTCAAATGGTGGAGCGAGTTTAACTGAAAACAAGTAATTGGCCAAAGGCGACAGCCGATCGTGGGATACTCTACAACTCTATAGATTACGGTAAAGTTTCTGTAGATCTGAAACCCTTTGGCCTGGATATTGGGATACATAAATGAACTACTTAAAATATCATTCTTCTTTGCTTCTTAAGTCGTTACAAAGAATGTAATAAATTCCTGCTTTAATATCATTAATGGCATCATTGCACTACTCCGTTCGAACATGAGCAGAACCACCATACAATGGAAAATTCTGGGAATTTTAATTATATTTACACATTGTTCGTGCCTTTGGAAATCCGAAAAAAACATTTGAAAATTAGGGTTAAAGTGTATATTTTGCTAGAGCCACATATAAAACAAATGCACTTTTTATGGGGAATTTATGAGAATTAAAATATACCAAACTTCGTATTCTACTAAATTTGACGAGGGCATTTGGGTCTGAAACGATATTCATCCATTTTTAGGCACAATAAACATGGGAGTTATATCCCAATCTGAACCGATCTCTATAAAACTAAGCAGAGGTATTTCTATTCTGAATCAAATACATGACACTAAATATCGTTGTTGTGGGGAGTACAGGGTGAGATAAAAAACTGCAACGAAGTCAAACGCCATAATTTTTACATTTTTTTAATTTTATTGAATGAAAGAAAAAAATGTCGGAAATATCATCCAGTTTTAGAATAATTTTAGATTTGTTTGAATTGATCGCCTTTGGCAGGAATTATGGCCTTCAAACGGCATTTTGTTTTTTTACAAACTGCTGGACAACGAATGTTTTCTCATCGGAGAAAACCAAATTCGGCAGTTCACCACTTTCGGCCAAGGGAAGCAACTCTTTAGCCCTTTTGAGACTATTTTCTTTCTGTTGCGGTGTAAGTTTAGGTTAAGATAGAAGTACTACTGAACTTAAGGAAAATAATTTTAAATAAAAACAAGTAAAAAAACATTAAGTTCGGCCGGGCCAAACTTTTAATACCCTCCACCTTAGGGTAAAAGAAACATTGGAAAAAATGTGGCAAAAACCATTAAAATGCCGAATATCGGGAGGTACCGTTATATGGGGGCTACACCAAAACGTGGACCTATAATTACAATGTTTCGTCACACGAACTAGAATCCATTATGACCCACAAATACCAATTTTTAGACAAATCAGTGAAAAAATGTGGCAAAAATCATCAAATTACCGAATATCGGGAGGTACCGTTATATGGGGGCTATACCAAATCATGGACCCATACATGCAATGTTTCGCCACGGGAGCTGGAAACCATTATGACCCACAAATACCAATTTTTAGACAAATCCGTGAAAAAATGTGACAAAAAAAACTAAAATACCGAATATCCGGAGGTACCGTTATATGGGGGCTATACCACAACGTGGACCTATACATTCAATGTTTTGCCACACGCTCAGGGACCCGTTATGACCTACAAATACCAATTTCCAGACAAATCCGTGAAAAATGTGGCATAAATCATCAAAATACCGAATATCGGGAGGTACCGTTATATGGGGACTATACCAGAACGTGGACCGATATATCTCATTTTCAATACTAACCATCCTAGATACAATGCAAATAGCTCTGCTAAATTTTGGCGCTCTACGTCAAATAATGTGGGCTGCATCGTGATTTCAACAGGCAGACGGACATCGTTAAATCGACTTAGAATTTTATGCTGATTATGAATATATATACTTTATGGGGTCTAAGACGAATATTTAAGGATGTTACAAACGGAATGACAAAGTTAATATACCCTCCTTTCCAAGGTGGAAGGTATAATTAGAATTGAAACTACATCCAAAGAATAAGGTTGTTCTTTCTTTTCTCATCTCCGAATAGAGAATAGATTTGACAATCGAAGAGGGAGATTGGATTCTATTCTCAAACATTGATCCTTCAAGCCGGATCGAGAATTAAATCAACAGCCAAACCATTCGGTTGTATTGCTTTCTTATCTCCGAATAGAGAATAGAGTTGACAATCGAAGAGGAATATTACGAATTACAAAATAAGTTCTCAAATTACAAGTGGAATTCTTGAATTGTAATTGCAATTTTTTCATCCCTTTTGCGATCATCTCCCCCCACAATAGGCTTGACCTAGCCCTAACTCCATGTGAAATATCGTAGGGATTGGTCTAGAACTGCGACATGTACAGTGGTTACAAAATAACATCGACAGACGGACGATGTCGTGGGTCTTGGTCCAATATTTCGAGATGGGGGTTTTCTTTTGCATTCACATTCGTATCGTCATGCAGAAACGGGCCCATAATCCACAAATAGAATTATTTATTAATCATCACTGAAGAAAAACAGTAAATTAACTTCTTTCACTTTATATCAGATAATTTTTGGAGAATGTTGAAATGTGTGAAGGGAAGTATTCCATTTTCACACTTCATCTAATACCGATAAAAATATTTGGATGTGCGAATGAGACAAATATATACTAAGTTTGAAAAGAATCACTGACTGTATCGCGAGTTGTGCGAAATAAAATTGTGGCTCTTTACGGAGGAGTTACCAGAAGGAGTGGGTTAATATATTCCATCTTCACACCTGAACCTGTGTTGGAAGAAATTTGAAGAAAATCGGTTGCTTATTTCTCATTTTATGGGAGTCATAGTTATTCAAAAATGTTGATCGGTTATTAGGGAGATATCAGAAGGAGTGGACCAGTATCTACCATCTTCATACCAGATCTTGTGTTAGTTGAATGTGTGAAGTTTAGAAAGTGTGAGATGTTTATTTCGTATTATTCGAGTGTTTTGTTTATTCAAAATTTTGACCTCTTTGTGGGGGAGGTACTATAAGGAGTAGTCTGTTCTATCCGTATCTTATACCAAATCTTGTGTTGGGAAAAATATTGAAATGTGTGAAATCTGAAGACAGTCGGGCTCTTGTTAAACATTTTATAGAGTTACAATAGATCAAAATTTTTGCCCTTTGTTGGGGAGGTACTTGATGGAGGTGGCCTTTAATTTCCATTTTCATTTCTGACTTAGCACAAATACAAACATTAGGATTTGCAAAGTTTGAAAAAATTGTTCTTGTTTTATTTCCTGTCCTTGTTTTATTTTCGGTAAAAATTTTGACCTTTTAAGGGGGATGATGGTTTAGGTTTTCTAAAAATGAAAAGTTGTAAACGTTATATACCAGTATAAAAAGAAGGAAAGGTATGAAACCTCATAAAACGGTTCCTCCCGATATTCGGTATTTTGATGATTTATACCACATTTTTTCACGGCTTTGTCTGAAATTCGGTATTTGTAGGTCATAACGGGTCCCTGTGCGTGTGGCAAAACATTGCATGTATAGGTCCACGTTTTGGTATAGCCCCCATATAAAGGTACCTCCCGATATTCGGTATTTTAGTTTTTTTTTTGCCACATTTTTTCACTGATTTGTCTAAAAATTGGTATTTGTGGGTCATAATGGGTCCAAGTTCGTGTGGCGAAACATTGTATGTATAGGTCCACGTTTTGATATAGTCCCCTCCCAATATTCGATATTTTGATGATTTTTGGCACTTTTTTCAAGAATTTCTCTGAAAATTGGTAGTTGTAGATAATAATGGGTCCCAGTTCGTGTGGTGAGTCATTGTAACTACAGGTCCACGTTTTGGTATAGCCCCCATATAACGGTACCTCCCGATATTCGGTAATTTGATGATTTTTACCACATTTTTTCACGGATTTGTCTGAAAATTGGTATTTGTAGGTCATAATGAAGAAACATTGTATGTGTAGGTCCACGGTACCTCCCGATATTTGCCATTTTATTGGTTTTTACCACATTTCTTCTAATGCTTCCTTTACCCTAAGGTGGAGGGAATTAAAGTTTGGCCCGGTCGAACTTAATGTTTTTTTACTTGTTGTTCTATGAAAATATGAAATTTATTTCCTAGTATTTCCTTTATAAAATTCTTTATTTGACATTTGTTGCCTTTATTAAAGTTTTCATTTAAGATTTTCATAGAACAAGAATTGAGCACCCGCGTTTTGTTGTTGCGAAATGACGAAGTTAAGTTTTTCATTATGTTTGTAACGCCTCGAAATATACATTTTTGACCCTACAAAGTATATGTATAAGTTCGATACTTTGGTTACGCCAAGGAATTTTTTCGATACATTGTCCTCCCTTCCCCAGCATTCCAATTAATTACATTAATTGGCCTCTCAGTCGAGATCAATGGGAAAACTTCTGTGCCTCACTTTTAGGAGCCACTTTCGCTTAGCTCAGATTGTGAGGGAGAGCTTACGCTCTCTACTGCATTTTCTCCTAAAAGTCATATTCGCTCAGTTCGGATGCAGAGAGGCATTTTCCAATGCTGCGGTCATAGATGCTGGTCACAACCTTGTGCCGTTATTGTGCTCATCTGCATCGACACTTGTTCTTTCGCTATTGTTGATATCGCACGCAAAGGTAAAGTCTAGTTTCGTCTGAAACTCACACACTTTACAAATAAACCATTAAAAATACAAATACACAAAACTGCATAATCCTTGTTTTTATTCTCTTAACTTTTGGGTTTATTTGTACCGGTATCACGCCATTGCACAGTGGTCGCTGCCATTGGCCAAAATTCAAAAAATTAAAATCAGATATTTATTATCAAATGTGTACACATGAACTCTTAAGAGGTTAAGCTTTTTAGAAAACATAATAATCTTGGCTTCATTCTAACGGCCCACTTCGAGAATAGCATCAAAAAAGAGGAAATGCAGTTAGTTGCTTTTTTCAGTGGGATCAGTGAAAAAGTGGAGTAAAAAAAGAGCTGTATTACAAAATTAAATACATTTTAAATAGACAAATCTTGGTATAATTATTGACAAGCAAGTTATTGACTTATTTTTAGTGCAGTAATTTGTGTGTTTAGTAGTTGGGTATAATATAGACGATGTGAGTATTCTAAGTTGCCTTTAAGATTAATTTTGAAAATAAAATTGGATTTCAGTTAAAGTTTTAATTGTTTTCCCCCCTGAATCCTCCAATGTGATTTTTTTTCACGCCATTAGTAATGGTCCTAAGATTCTTGAAGTGCTAATTTAACTTTCAGATTTTGTCAGATTTGTATGTTATGCCCAATATACTGAAGTGACTTCGCTGCAATTTTGTCAATTCTATGGTGCTAATGACATAGAATATGTTTTTGTTGTTTGGATTGATAAAGATGTAAATGAGAGGTGTTCAATATTGTTACAAGGATTGACTTCCGGATGCCATATTAATGTCGAAAAATTTAAGGACTTTACACTGGAAACTGGTAAAGAGTTAAAAAATAGATACCCATGATACTATCTTACACCCACAGTTCATAAAATTTTAATACATGCTCCCGACTCTATAAAATATGTCATTGTATCGATTGGAGAATTATAGGGAGGCCACGAAGTCTGCCAACAAATATATACAAAAGTTTCGACTAAATCATACCTGAAAAAATGCTCGTGTTTCAACAAACACAGATCTTATTAACCATTTTCTTCTGAGCTCTGACCCTTTTATAACGGGACAGCGAACGTTACCAAACAATAAAATATATTATTAAAATCTGCATTCGATTTACTTGAATAACACTGAAATTTATATATATCCATTAGTAACTTTGATTTAATTTTATTTTGATTTGTTTATTTTGTTTACAAAAACATTGTCTATTTTGTTTACAAAAAATAATCAAATTTGGAATTGATTTGTATAAAAATACTTATTTTTTTGGAGGTACCTTTACAGAGGGACTCTACCTGAAGGCAGGCCGTTCCAAATAATTTTCAGTAATAGTACGTTTATATATATGAGGGTTAACCCACTGGATTTGGATTTAAATTGTCATATCCATTACTTTAACTTCAAATAAATCCTCTCAAAATAGGTTAACCGTACAAAAACTTCTAACGTAAACATGGCATAAGACTATTTTTTAGGTCTTTAGAACGTAAAATGTCAAATAACAGAACAATCTTGTGTAGAAATGTGACGAAAATTGGACAAATAACCCTTATTCGGGAGGTACGTTGTAAGGGGACCATGCCAAAACATGCCTCGACCATATCCATTTTGTCACATTTTTTATTTTTATCCCATCAATGTACCATAACCAAAGATTCATATTGATATCTGCACTGAAAGTATTTTTGGCCGCTGTTCCCATGCGACCTCGACCACTGTGCATTGGTATTACGCCAACAGTATACATAAATTCTTAATCAGCATAAAATTCTATGTCGATTTAACGATGACCGTTAGTCTGTCTGTGGAAATCAGTCTAGCTTCCGAACAAATTGAAGTAGGTTGATAAAATTTTACTCAAATGTGTGTTTCGTCTGCAGAACTATTGGTTTTGAAAATGGGCTACATAGGTCCACGTTGAGGTATAGCCTCCATATAACTGTACGTCCGATATTCAGTATTTTGATGATTTTAGCAACATTATACACCGGAATTGTTTCAAATTTCGTATTTGAAGTTCCCAATGGGTACTTCACTCTATGACAGAAAATTATCTATTCAGGTCCAGGTCTTCGCGTAGCCACTAAATATCGGTACCTTCCTATTTCCGGTATTTTGATGATTTTAGCTACATTATTCTGCGGAATTGTTTCAAATTTCGTATTTGATCTTCGTAATGGGCACTACAGCCTGTGACAGAAAATTGCCTATGCAGGTCCACATCTTCGTATAGAACCTAAAATAACGGTATCTTACTATATTAGGTATTTTAAAAATTTTATACGTCGAAAAAGTCGTACACCTAGGCAAATAAAAAAAGTTTTTAACAGAAACACGGTGATTGAATGTTTGCCTCTATGGATATTACCCATCTCCGAACTCGATCTAAGTTTGATAATAATATTACAAGGTACCATGTTTGGACCAAATAGGACACTGCCTTAGAGGACGGACGATATAATTTTTTCCACACAATTCCAATAAAGGGTAAATACGAAGATGTGCTATATAGATTCACATAGCACCCATATAATGGGTTCGGCCAACTTAAACTGTCAGTAGGACACCGTTCGACATTTTCAATATTTTAACCTACAAGTGTAGGCCCACTTTCCTATAAAGCCCCCTTACATTACGTGACCGTCTGATATTCGCTGTTTTGAAAGATTTAAAAACATTTTCTATCGATTTGCAATTAACAATTTTGTTTGGCTAAATTTGGGCAATTACTGAATTTCTATGAATCTCACTCACTATGTAAGGTAAATCAACTTTGCCATTCCGTTTGTAACTTCTTACTTAATATCCAAACATTTTTGATCAGTTTAAAATTCTCGGTCTATTTAGTGACATATGTCTCTCTACGTTATTATATGTAATTACGCTATTACCAAAAATAATTTAATTGAAAAATTATAGTTTATTTCAAATATTAATTTAAATTTTTCTCGACAAAAATTATAAAAAATATTGATTATTGTTTAAAAATTGATGCAAATATATATGGAAAATGTAAAAAAAGTAGAAAAAATTACAGATATTTCATATTAAAAATATAATACTTTTAATAGAATAATTTCAATTTGTTTGCCTTCAAGGCACCGCCGATGCATTTGTTGATTTGGGCAGCAGCTTCGCAAGGATGATTGGTGCTAATCAAGTTGTTGCAGTTGTTGGCCGTGGCCACTGCCACCGAAATAACCAATTCATTGTTCTGTGAGACACTGCCGGCAATTCGGGCAATGGTATCTACAGACAACCGGTTGTTTTTGTCCATCTAAAAGACAGCAAAAACGGTTACTAAACCTCATCATCAAATGAAAGGAAGTTATGTGAGTATTTTACCAAATTAACTTTTCTCAGGATGCAAGCCATCAAACACTTTTCTTGTGGCGTGGGATTCTCCTCGTACAGCAGTGTCTTGTCATTTACGGATGAACCAAAACCCAATTCTTTGGCACAGTCTTTCTTGGTGTTGGTCAGAAGATCCTGCAAATCTTGTATGGCCTGGGGAATTTGACGCTTTGAACGGGTATAGCTGCTATCATGTATGCCGTTAGCCATGGGACTGGCCAAGGGTTTGCGCTGGCCCTTATATTCAGTCACACTGTTGGCGTAATAATTTTTAAGCTGTAATCGGAAAAAATTGTTTAGAATTTTTATTTAGTTTTTAGCCTTAGTTGTTGTTTTACTTACGCTCTTGCTGTGAGCCAAGTTTATGTAGGCAAAAGCGAAGAAAATAACCGTTGCAGCGAATTTCATATTGGCGGAGCAATAATGCAAGTGCAAGTTGTTGAGAGTTGAATAGACACTGTGATGTCTTTACCAATGATTCCATGACTTATTTATACTCAAATTTTCTTCGGTTTTATGCTGATGCGGTAGTTTTGATCTCTGCAATTCTGTTGCTACTTTTCTTTTATTCAAGGTTAGACTGTTGCGGTTAAGGTCAATGTGAAGCATCGAATGAATCTGCCTCACGTATTTTAAAATGGGTTTGAACAATAACAATTGCCGTAAAAATTACTCAGTGATCTCTGTTGAGCGAATTAACTCCCTTATTAAAGTTATTGAACGACATTCGATAAAAGTAAGCAGGAAAAAAGCTGCTCGACTTTTAAATTGTTGTTAGCAAATTGTTAATTTCTCTTGAAAAAAAAAATTAGATATATGATAGTAAATTACAATGTACAGTCCTCACTATATGTACTTTTACATTGTGCGACAATATTTTATCTTTTACATAATTAAAGGAAGAAATCTAGTAGATTATGAAAGTTAAGCTAAAACAAGTAAAAAAGCTGTAAGTTTGGCCAGGCCGAACTTTGAATACCCTCCACCATTTGCAACGAATTTGGCAATTCTCAAAAACAATAAAATCCGTTAAAGATTCTGTTAAAATCTTAAAATATTGAATGTCGCTATTATATTAGGGTCTATATGACGACATGGACCTGCATAGGTAACTTTCGTCATAAGCCATTACAATATTCAAATGCGAAACTTAGAAAAAACAATCGGTGAATAATGTAGCTAAAGTCATCCAAATAGCGAATATCGGGAGGAGCTGTTATATGATGGCTATATGAAGACGTGGACCTGTACAGACAATTTTTTGTCATTGGCTGTAGTATCCATTGCGAACTTCAAATATCGAATCTGAAATAGTTCCGGTAAATAATGTCTCTAAAATCATCAAAATACCGAATATAGGGAGGTACAGTTATATGGGGGTTATACGAAGACGTGGACCTGCACAGACAATTTTCTGCCCTAAGCTGAAGTATCCATTACGAACTTCAAATACTAAATTTGAAATAGTTCCGGTAAATAATGTCTCTAAAATCATCTATATACCGAATATCGGGAGGTACCGTTACATGTGGGCTATATGAGGACGTGAACCTGCACAGACAATTTTCTGTCTTAGGCTGAAGTATCCATTACGAACATTAAACACCAAATTTGAAACATTTCCGGTGAATAATGTCGCTTAAATCACCATAATACCGAATATCGGGAGGTACCATTATATGGGGGTACAAGGCCAATATTCAATACCAAAAGTCCTGCAGACATAATATACATTTGAGTAAAATTTTATCAATCTACTTCATTTCGTTCGGAAGCTAGAGTGATTTCAAGAATACACATATACTTTGTGGGGTCTGAAATGTATATTTCGAGGTGTTACAAACGGAATGACAAACTTAATATACCCTCTACACTATGGTGGAGGGATAAAAATGGGACCCCTGTAGTTTTAAATGTATTTCACAATATTTAAGATAGAGCTTTGAAATTTGATGGAGATCTTTGGAGTACATCGAGAATCATGGCTACAGAAAATGGGCCATATCGGTTCAGTTTTTGGAATAGTAAGGAACTCCGTTTTCAAGATTTAACGTGTTAATTTTGCCAAATGTTGACATTTTGTGTTCCTGTTATGTAGAAATGCTATTTACAAAAATATATTGTGAGGGTCTTGCCCTTATTTTCCACTCGGCCATAGATTCTTAGAGTCCTCTAGTCTTAAAAGAGAAATAATTTTGTGGAATATTTTAAATTGCTAAAATCCCGTTTAAAGGTAGTTTTTCCCCAGATTAAAGGAACATTAAGTTCGGTCGGCCGATCTTCGAATACACTCCACCATTTGGAATGAATTTGGAAATTTTCAAAAAATGAAATCCTTAAAAAATTCTGTTTAAATTTTAAAACCAGTAAAGAAAGTCCTAAAGTCGGGCGGGGCCGATTTTATGATACCCTACACCACTTTGCTAATTTAGTTGAGCTCTACGTAACAATTAAAAGTTTTTATGGGAGAATTCAATCATACACGCTAGGATTATAATTATAGTTTAAAATTCAAAGGACTAAATATGAAGAAGCATTTGTATCTCTTAAATTCGGACTTGTATTGCCCATTTGGTACACAATTAATTTGAAATCGGATAAAGATATATATGGGAACTATATCCAAGTTTGAACCGATCTCGATAAAATTTGGCAAAAATAAATATCTGAGCTGTATTTGATATATTTCCCTGAATATCGTTGTTACGGAGTGCATATTACGGCTGTGGGTAACAAATACAATAAATCGGATGAACAATATATATGGGAGCTATAACTATATCTGAACCGATCTTCACCAAATTTGGCATACTACCTTCTAGACTTAGTTCGGTCGTATGTGCCAAATTCCATCCCATTTGGACAAATATTAGACGTTTGGTGCACAATAAATGGTAAATCGGACGAAGATATATATGGGTGCTATATCTCAATTTTGACCGATTATCTCCAATTTCATAGGGTTCGTCCTTGGGCCAAACAAATGATTTGTGCAAAATTTCATCTGGATAGGAAATAAATGGACAGACGGACGGACAGACGGACATGCATAAATCGACTCAGAATGTGATTCTATGCAGATCATGAAAAGAAACTACGTATCTATCTCGTTTCCTTTTGCCTGTTACAAACAAATGCACTAAGACATAATACCCCGACCACCTTGTGGTGTAGGGTATAATGAGGAAAAATATGAAAAAAATGAAAACAACTTGTTCTATATAATTTTGAATGAGTCTGACACGAAGTTTCAGTTCTACCTCCTTGTTGTACCATGGTATAAACGAAGAAATTATCTTCATTTGCCAACTTTTTGCCAAAGAGAAGACTTTAATCGGAAAATACATCTCAAAATAAAACAAGTAAGCAAAGGCTACAGTCGAGCGGGGCCGACCGTTGAATACCCTACAACACTATAATAAACGATACAGTTTATATAGGCGAGATACTTGAAAGAATTCCACAAGATATTGTGACAAATAATAAAAGAAAACCATCAGGTTTCGTTCTCTAATTTTCGAATAATAGCAACTTAAACTAATTTGCTCATTTCCAATTTATTTGTAGATGTTGCACGTAAATGGTCTTCCTAGATCTGGAACCAATATTTCCCAAAGACCTATAATCTCTCAGAAGTGGCAAAAGATTAACATTTATTATTCATTATTCTCGACATGTAAGAGATCTTTCAAGCATATCTTCTTTGATAGACATATATATCGCACATATTTTGCTATATATCCGATTTGTTGGCTGTTAACATCAATCTGAAGATCAGAAGTAACCTTGTCATGGCTTTGTGATTTCGCCGGGATTTAAAATATTCGCGGTTTAATGAAAAATTTTGAATTTTTTCAACACAAAAGATATGCTCTATTTTACCCGCTAAATATTATCCGATGACCACCCAAATTGGTAGGCTTCTTCCCCGCCCTTAACTCTAGCTACATGCGAAATTCCGCGTCGATTGGTCTATAATTGCCACCTGTATAGCTTCTGCAAAATCCGACATTTTTTCAGTATTTGGTCCATTTCAATCCCTAAACATTTGGCGATCATCTCCAAAAGAAATAGGCTTCTATTCTGACCTTAGCCCCACCTTCGTGCTAAATTTCGTAAGGATCGGGCCATAATTGCGACCTGTAGAGTGATTACAAATTAACATGGACAGACGGACAGACGGACAGACGGACGGACGGACATACATAGCTAGATCGACTCAGCTCGGCGAGCTAGGAAGATCCATATATACTTTCCTATGTGGGAAATCAATATTTCGAGGTGTTACATAATTTTTGGCCCAATCAAACTTATAATACCCCCAACACATAGTGTTGTAGGGTATAAAAAGCATGCAACAAAATCTTGAAAACTTTCCCAAAAAATAGTCATTGAAAATTTATATAATTAGTTGAGTCTAAACTTGTATATGTCTATGAAACTTTGAATTTATTTGTATATGTCTATGAAACTATGAATCTTGTGTAGAAATGTGACGAAAATTGGACAAATAACCCTTATTCGGGAGGTACGTTGTAAGGGGACCATGCCAAAACATGCCTCGACCATATCCATTTTGTCACATTTTTTATTTTTATCCCATCAATGTACCATAACCAAAGATTCATATTGATATCTGCACTGAAAGTATTTTTGGCCGCTGTTCCCATGCGACCTCGACCACTGTGCATTGGTATTACGCCAACAGTATACATAAATTCTTAATCAGCATAAAATTCTATGTCGATTTAACGATGACCGTTAGTCTGTCTGTGGAAATCAGTCTAGCTTCCGAACAAATTGAAGTAGGTTGATAAAATTTTACTCAAATGTGTGTTTCGTCTGCAGAACTATTGGTTTTGAAAATGGGCTACATAGGTCCACGTTGAGGTATAGCCTCCATATAACTGTACGTCCGATATTCAGTATTTTGATGATTTTAGCAACATTATACACCGGAATTGTTTCAAATTTCGTATTTGAAGTTCCCAATGGGTACTTCACTCTATGACAGAAAATTATCTATTCAGGTCCAGGTCTTCGCGTAGCCACTAAATATCGGTACCTTCCTATTTCCGGTATTTTGATGATTTTAGCTACATTATTCTGCGGAATTGTTTCAAATTTCGTATTTGATCTTCGTAATGGGCACTACAGCCTGTGACAGAAAATTGCCTATGCAGGTCCACATCTTCGTATAGAACCTAAAATAACGGTATCTTACTATATTAGGTATTTTAAAAATTTTATACGTCGAAAAAGTCGTACACCTAGGCAAATAAAAAAAGTTTTTAACAGAAACACGGTGATTGAATGTTTGCCTCTATGGATATTACCCATCTCCGAACTCGATCTAAGTTTGATAATAATATTACAAGGTACCATGTTTGGACCAAATAGGACACTGCCTTAGAGGACGGACGATATAATTTTTTCCACACAATTCCAATAAAGGGTAAATACGAAGATGTGCTATATAGATTCACATAGCACCCATATAATGGGTTCGGCCAACTTAAACTGTCAGTAGGACACCGTTCGACATTTTCAATATTTTAACCTACAAGTGTAGGCCCACTTTCCTATAAAGCCCCCTTACATTACGTGACCGTCTGATATTCGCTGTTTTGAAAGATTTAAAAACATTTTCTATCGATTTGCAATTAACAATTTTGTTTGGCTAAATTTGGGCAATTACTGAATTTCTATGAATCTCACTCACTATGTAAGGTAAATCAACTTTGCCATTCCGTTTGTAACTTCTTACTTAATATCCAAACATTTTTGATCAGTTTAAAATTCTCGGTCTATTTAGTGACATATGTCTCTCTACGTTATTATATGTAATTACGCTATTACCAAAAATAATTTAATTGAAAAATTATAGTTTATTTCAAATATTAATTTAAATTTTTCTCGACAAAAATTATAAAAAATATTGATTATTGTTTAAAAATTGATGCAAATATATATGGAAAATGTAAAAAAAGTAGAAAAAATTACAGATATTTCATATTAAAAATATAATACTTTTAATAGAATAATTTCAATTTGTTTGCCTTCAAGGCACCGCCGATGCATTTGTTGATTTGGGCAGCAGCTTCGCAAGGATGATTGGTGCTAATCAAGTTGTTGCAGTTGTTGGCCGTGGCCACTGCCACCGAAATAACCAATTCATTGTTCTGTGAGACACTGCCGGCAATTCGGGCAATGGTATCTACAGACAACCGGTTGTTTTTGTCCATCTAAAAGACAGCAAAAACGGTTACTAAACCTCATCATCAAATGAAAGGAAGTTATGTGAGTATTTTACCAAATTAACTTTTCTCAGGATGCAAGCCATCAAACACTTTTCTTGTGGCGTGGGATTCTCCTCGTACAGCAGTGTCTTGTCATTTACGGATGAACCAAAACCCAATTCTTTGGCACAGTCTTTCTTGGTGTTGGTCAGAAGATCCTGCAAATCTTGTATGGCCTGGGGAATTTGACGCTTTGAACGGGTATAGCTGCTATCATGTATGCCGTTAGCCATGGGACTGGCCAAGGGTTTGCGCTGGCCCTTATATTCAGTCACACTGTTGGCGTAATAATTTTTAAGCTGTAATCGGAAAAAATTGTTTAGAATTTTTATTTAGTTTTTAGCCTTAGTTGTTGTTTTACTTACGCTCTTGCTGTGAGCCAAGTTTATGTAGGCAAAAGCGAAGAAAATAACCGTTGCAGCGAATTTCATATTGGCGGAGCAATAATGCAAGTGCAAGTTGTTGAGAGTTGAATAGACACTGTGATGTCTTTACCAATGATTCCATGACTTATTTATACTCAAATTTTCTTCGGTTTTATGCTGATGCGGTAGTTTTGATCTCTGCAATTCTGTTGCTACTTTTCTTTTATTCAAGGTTAGACTGTTGCGGTTAAGGTCAATGTGAAGCATCGAATGAATCTGCCTCACGTATTTTAAAATGGGTTTGAACAATAACAATTGCCGTAAAAATTACTCAGTGATCTCTGTTGAGCGAATTAACTCCCTTATTAAAGTTATTGAACGACATTCGATAAAAGTAAGCAGGAAAAAAGCTGCTCGACTTTTAAATTGTTGTTAGCAAATTGTTAATTTCTCTTGAAAAAAAAAATTAGATATATGATAGTAAATTACAATGTACAGTCCTCACTATATGTACTTTTACATTGTGCGACAATATTTTATCTTTTACATAATTAAAGGAAGAAATCTAGTAGATTATGAAAGTTAAGCTAAAACAAGTAAAAAAGCTGTAAGTTTGGCCAGGCCGAACTTTGAATACCCTCCACCATTTGCAACGAATTTGGCAATTCTCAAAAACAATAAAATCCGTTAAAGATTCTGTTAAAATCTTAAAAATATTGAATGTCGCTATTATATTAGGGTCTATATGACGACATGGACCTGCATAGGTAACTTTCGTCATAAGCCATTACAATATTCAAATGCGAAACTTAGAAAAAACAATCGGTGAATAATGTAGCTAAAGTCATCCAAATAGCGAATATCGGGAGGAGCTGTTATATGATGGCTATATGAAGACGTGGACCTGTACAGACAATTTTTTGTCATTGGCTGTAGTATCCATTGCGAACTTCAAATATCGAATCTGAAATAGTTCCGGTAAATAATGTCTCTAAAATCATCAAAATACCGAATATAGGGAGGTACAGTTATATGGGGGTTATACGAAGACGTGGACCTGCACAGACAATTTTCTGCCCTAAGCTGAAGTATCCATTACGAACTTCAAATACTAAATTTGAAATAGTTCCGGTAAATAATGTCTCTAAAATCATCTATATACCGAATATCGGGAGGTACCGTTACATGTGGGCTATATGAGGACGTGAACCTGCACAGACAATTTTCTGTCTTAGGCTGAAGTATCCATTACGAACATTAAACACCAAATTTGAAACATTTCCGGTGAATAATGTCGCTTAAATCACCATAATACCGAATATCGGGAGGTACCATTATATGGGGGTACAAGGCCAATATTCAATACCAAAAGTCCTGCAGACATAATATACATTTGAGTAAAATTTTATCAATCTACTTCATTTCGTTCGGAAGCTAGAGTGATTTCAAGAATACACATATACTTTGTGGGGTCTGAAATGTATATTTCGAGGTGTTACAAACGGAATGACAAACTTAATATACCCTCTACACTATGGTGGAGGGATAAAAATGGGACCCCTGTAGTTTTAAATGTATTTCACAATATTTAAGATAGAGCTTTGAAATTTGATGGAGATCTTTGGAGTACATCGAGAATCATGGCTACAGAAAATGGGCCATATCGGTTCAGTTTTTGGAATAGTAAGGAACTCCGTTTTCAAGATTTAACGTGTTAATTTTGCCAAATGTTGACATTTTGTGTTCCTGTTATGTAGAAATGCTATTTACAAAAATATATTGTGAGGGTCTTGCCCTTATTTTCCACTCGGCCATAGATTCTTAGAGTCCTCTAGTCTTAAAAGAGAAATAATTTTGTGGAATATTTTAAATTGCTAAAATCCCGTTTAAAGGTAGTTTTTCCCCAGATTAAAGGAACATTAAGTTCGGTCGGCCGATCTTCGAATACACTCCACCATTTGGAATGAATTTGGAAATTTTCAAAAAATGAAATCCTTAAAAAATTCTGTTTAAATTTTAAAACCAGTAAAGAAAGTCCTAAAGTCGGGCGGGGCCGATTTTATGATACCCTACACCACTTTGCTAATTTAGTTGAGCTCTACGTAACAATTAAAAGTTTTTATGGGAGAATTCAATCATACACGCTAGGATTATAATTATAGTTTAAAATTCAAAGGACTAAATATGAAGAAGCATTTGTATCTCTTAAATTCGGACTTGTATTGCCCATTTGGTACACAATTAATTTGAAATCGGATAAAGATATATATGGGAACTATATCCAAGTTTGAACCGATCTCGATAAAATTTGGCAAAAATAAATATCTGAGCTGTATTTGATATATTTCCCTGAATATCGTTGTTACGGAGTGCATATTACGGCTGTGGGTAACAAATACAATAAATCGGATGAACAATATATATGGGAGCTATAACTATATCTGAACCGATCTTCACCAAATTTGGCATACTACCTTCTAGACTTAGTTCGGTCGTATGTGCCAAATTCCATCCCATTTGGACAAATATTAGACGTTTGGTGCACAATAAATGGTAAATCGGACGAAGATATATATGGGTGCTATATCTCAATTTTGACCGATTATCTCCAATTTCATAGGGTTCGTCCTTGGGCCAAACAAATGATTTGTGCAAAATTTCATCTGGATAGGAAATAAATGGACAGACGGACGGACAGACGGACATGCATAAATCGACTCAGAATGTGATTCTATGCAGATCATGAAAAGAAACTACGTATCTATCTCGTTTCCTTTTGCCTGTTACAAACAAATGCACTAAGACATAATACCCCGACCACCTTGTGGTGTAGGGTATAATGAGGAAAAATATGAAAAAAATGAAAACAACTTGTTCTATATAATTTTGAATGAGTCTGACACGAAGTTTCAGTTCTACCTCCTTGTTGTACCATGGTATAAACGAAGAAATTATCTTCATTTGCCAACTTTTTGCCAAAGAGAAGACTTTAATCGGAAAATACATCTCAAAATAAAACAAGTAAGCAAAGGCTACAGTCGAGCGGGGCCGACCGTTGAATACCCTACAACACTATAATAAACGATACAGTTTATATAGGCGAGATACTTGAAAGAATTCCACAAGATATTGTGACAAATAATAAAAGAAAACCATCAGGTTTCGTTCTCTAATTTTCGAATAATAGCAACTTAAACTAATTTGCTCATTTCCAATTTATTTGTAGATGTTGCACGTAAATGGTCTTCCTAGATCTGGAACCAATATTTCCCAAAGACCTATAATCTCTCAGAAGTGGCAAAAGATTAACATTTATTATTCATTATTCTCGACATGTAAGAGATCTTTCAAGCATATCTTCTTTGATAGACATATATATCGCACATATTTTGCTATATATCCGATTTGTTGGCTGTTAACATCAATCTGAAGATCAGAAGTAACCTTGTCATGGCTTTGTGATTTCGCCGGGATTTAAAATATTCGCGGTTTAATGAAAAATTTTGAATTTTTTCAACACAAAAGATATGCTCTATTTTACCCGCTAAATATTATCCGATGACCACCCAAATTGGTAGGCTTCTTCCCCGCCCTTAACTCTAGCTACATGCGAAATTCCGCGTCGATTGGTCTATAATTGCCACCTGTATAGCTTCTGCAAAATCCGACATTTTTTCAGTATTTGGTCCATTTCAATCCCTAAACATTTGGCGATCATCTCCAAAAGAAATAGGCTTCTATTCTGACCTTAGCCCCACCTTCGTGCTAAATTTCGTAAGGATCGGGCCATAATTGCGACCTGTAGAGTGATTACAAATTAACATGGACAGACGGACAGACGGACAGACGGACGGACGGACATACATAGCTAGATCGACTCAGCTCGGCGAGCTAGGAAGATCCATATATACTTTCCTATGTGGGAAATCAATATTTCGAGGTGTTACATAATTTTTGGCCCAATCAAACTTATAATACCCCCAACACATAGTGTTGTAGGGTATAAAAAGCATGCAACAAAATCTTGAAAACTTTCCCAAAAAATAGTCATTGAAAATTTATATAATTAGTTGAGTCTAAACTTGTATATGTCTATGAAACTTTGAATTTATGCATTTACATTTATACCAATAAATACGTATGCAAGAAGAACCTGCAAGAATCTACTAGCTTTTCAATTTTTTCGATATCATAAAGGAAAATCGGATATTGTAGTTAAACGTTACAGTTCTCAACGGACCAATGTTAAATTTTTGTGTTGAAAAACGTGTCCCAAGTATTCCGATTTATGATTAACGCTTTTATTCTCAAAATTACCAACTAGATTTGTATTAGACATGTCGACTTTTCGTATCTAAAGATTTCTATCAATAATATTTACAAATATAAATTATATGAATTTGAGATGAAATTGACCAATTGTGGGAATAACTACGACACATATATATGCGGCCGATATGTGTGTTTGTATTTTTTATTGGATAAATATTCTAATTTATTTGTATTCGATGAAAATCTTTCTACAGTTTATCGAGTGCATGTTTAAATATCGGTTGTAATGGACGAAAACATGTTGCCCCCAATCAGATATCAGTTTACATTCGTTTTATTTTTGCATGATCAAATTATTCGAAAAGGAATGAATATAAAAGTAGAACAACGCTCCGTTGGAAATTAGTTCAAATTTATTGTGTTTTCGTTAAGCGTATCGACCCACAATAGAACGCTGCAAAAAGGGGGCAGTGTTGAAATAGTTTCAATTAACACTTTTTAACATTGCAAAAAGTGTTAAAAAAATGAATTTTTGCAAACATCTGTTTATTTGTTTAAGTCTCATTGCGATCGCTTATGTAAGTAAATATTACATGGAAGGGAATTCCATTTTATTCAAGAGGATACAATTTTAAAAAAATGCAAATGTCAGTTTGAGAAAGTTAATTAATTAAGCAATTCTAAAATCTCCTCAATGCAAATGTAAATTCGGTATAAGGTTAAACAGTTAATATTGACAATAAAATATTCAAAATAGAGCAATACAAAACTTATGTGACCAGATACATACTGAAAATGGTATCAATGTGTGTAAAGACTTGTGAAAGTGTGTGAAATTTTAATATCGGGTCAAAAATTATGTCCTTGACTTTGAAATCAAATAAGATCTTTAAAATACATAATATCAGTCGGTTAAAACTGGTATTCCTAGCGATGGTTACGTGGCCATACATTGATGAGCAGTATGTATACCGAAGTATTGCGGTAACGCATCTCCGAAATATCGTATTGCTTTATTTTGGAATTTATTTCGTCTATATATACTATACAAAACAACCGGGCTCATCTGGGAATTGGAAAATTCCATTTTGTCGTAAAAACCCAGAAAAGCAAAATACTATTTTTGCGTATAGCAAGAGAAATCTTGGGTCTGAATTCACCTCGTTGTGACTTTATTGAATTGGAATTGCTTTAAAACTCGTTACTTTCCTCTGTATTCCAAGATAATATTTTAAATTTTCAACAATTACGGGGAAACCACAGTGTCAGATCTTATGCAGTGAGAACTTACAAAGTTGTCTCGATGGGCAACAGCTTTAGGTCCAACCAAACAATGACAGAATTGGCACTGGTCACACGTAGCGCAAGCCAGATCAATTCGTTCCAGCAGTTGTGGATGGAGTGTCCTTTAAGCTCTCTCTTTATATCTACACAATTTTGGAGTGTAAACAAGTAAAAAAACTTTAAGTTCGGCCGGGCCGAACGATTTTGACAATTTTCAAAAAAATAAAATCCATTATGTTAGGGTCAATACGACAACGTAGATCTGCATAGGCAACCTTTGTCATAAGTCAACACAATAGTCAAATGCGAAATCGGTGAAGAATGTTTAAATCATCAAAGTACCGGATATAGAAAGGTACCATTATATGGGGCCTACACCGAAACGTGGACCTGCACAGACAGTTTTCTGTCCTGTAGCCTGTAGTATCCATGACGAACTTCAAATACCAAATTTGAAACAATTCCGGTGAATAATGTCGCTAAAATCATCAAAACGCCGAATATCAGGAGGTGCCGTTATATGGGAGGCTATACGAAGACGTGGACCTGTCATAGGCTGTAGCATCCATTACGAACTTCGAGTACCAAATTTGAAGCAATTTCGGTGAATAATGTCGCTAAAATCATCAAAATGCGGAACATCGGAGGGTACCGTTATATGATGGTTATACGAAGACGTGAACCTGCATTTACAATTTTCTGCCATAGACTGTAGTATCCATGACGAACTTCAAATACCAAAATTTGAAACTTTTCCGGTGAATAACGTCGCTTAAATCGCCAAAATGATAATATTCATTTTAATAAAATTTTATCAACCTACTTCATTTCGTTCGGAAGCTGGAGCGGTTTTCACAGACGGACAGACGGACGGACATCGCTATATCGACATAAAATTGTATGCTCATCAAGAATATATATACTTTGTGGGGTCTAGAATGTATATTTCGAAGTGTTACAAACGGAATGATAAACTTAAATAGCTCGAAACTCTCAAGCTTACAGTGAGCAGCTTTAATCCTAACCGCGGCCTCATCAAAAAACACACCTTAAACATAGCATTTGTTGAACTTAGTACCAGGCTGCGGCATACTACACGACAGGATTATGCCAGCTTGCTTGCTTTCTAAGAGCTTAATTAACCTTCAACCCTCATAAACGGAACTGCGATTACATATCACCAATCATGACAGAACTGAGATACTGATTCCAAGCAGGGATGAATTTAACGGAGCAACCTACCTCTAATTAGTCTCCGATATATACAGATGGATCAAAGGTGGAAACAGGCACGGGGCCAGAGTAAGGTACAGAACAGTGTTTTCAAGAAGAGATCATGAATGCGATAGAATTAATTAAAATTATGGAGAATGGAATAAATAACTGAACCCGTGACTGCAAAGCGGCTCTTATGCAAGTCACGCACGATACAACTGGAGAGGTTGTATTCAAGATTGAATCGTTTGTAGGCCGGTTGTACGAAGTTGTGTCTCAGTTGTACAAAAAAAAAATAAATTGTACCAACCTATTGTAACGTTTGTGGGCATGTTGCACACAAACTCTACGAAAAGTGAAGTTGTACACAAAGTTGTATCGTTTATGGCTAAATCATACAACTTGGCTACCCTCCAAGTTGTACCAACGAATGTTTTACATTCAATTTCTGTGCAGTTCTGAGGTATAGAACTGCTCTGGGAAATCTGCACACTACTATCCGGCTTTGCTGAGTATCTGGTCATTTTAATATTGAACGAAATAGGAATGTTGATGGATTGGAAATGATGGGCTTGCAGTCGACGACAATAGTCGCCGATATGTTATAACTACTCTTCGTCATTTTCATTCTCAAGGGAGAAAGTCAAAGTGTGCTGGTACACCGAACTACGGTGTAAGGTATCAAAACAAATCTGGGCAGATATATCCTCGCGTAGAACCCAGCCTCTATTAACCATGAATAATTGAACGTTACGGATATCGATAGGGATACTAACAGGCCAACGAAACATCCCATCAAAAACGTCGAAATGGGATAACTCTAACGTCGAATGCTGCAGGCAGGAGGAGGATAAGGGAGAAAATAAAACGATTGAACTTCTATTGTCCTGCTCTATCAAGTTAAAGACTACAAGCAATGGGGGAATTTTCGACACGGATCCCTTCGTCATCGCTAATTTCACAAAATGGCTTTGGCGTCGGAGTTAAAACTAAAGTTGTTTTCCGTTTGGAACACCTTGAAATATACATTTTAGACCCCATAAAGAGAAAAACTTCTTAATCAGCATAAAATTCTATGTCGATTTAGCGATGTATCTATCCGTCTGTGAAAATCTCTCTAGCTTCCGAAGGAAATGGAGTATATTGATAAAATTTTACTCAAATGTATATTATGTCTGCAGGACTTTTGGTATTGAAAATGGGTCACGTAGGTCCACGTCTTCTTATAGCCCTATATACCGGTAACTCCCGATATTGGGTATTTTGATGATTTTAGCGACATTATTCACCGGAATTGTTTCAAATTAGGTATTTGATGTTTGTAATGGATGCTACAGCCCATGACAGGAGATTTTCTGTGCCGGTCCACGTCTTCGTATAGTCCCCATATAACGGTAACTCCCGATATTCGGTATTTTATTGATTTGAGCGACATTATTCAACGGAATTGTTTCCAATTTGGTATTTGAAGTTCGAAATGGATACTACAGCCCAGAACAGAAAATTGTCTGTGCCGGTCCACGTCTTCGTATAGCCCCCATATAACGGTACCTCTCGATATTTGGTATTTGGTTGATTTTAGCTACATTGTTACCGTTTTTTTTTAAGTTTCGCATTTGAATATTGTAATGGCTTATGACAAATGTTACCTATGCAGGTCTATGTCGTCGTATAGACCCTAATATAACAGCTACATGCGGTATTTTTAAAATTTTAGAAATTTTTTAACGGACTTTATTCTTTATTTTTATACCCTACACCACAAGGTGGTCAGGGTATTATGTCTTTGTGCATTTGTTTGTAAGAGACAAAAGGGAACGAGATAGACTCATAGTTCCTTTTGATGATCTGCATAATCACATTGAGTCGATTTATGCATGTCCATTCGTCCGTCTGTCCATGTGTTTTTGTAAACAAAGTACAGTTCGCATTTATTGCCCTATCCAGATAAAATTTTGCACAAATCATTTGTTTGGCCCAAGGACGAACCCTATTGAAATTGGAGATAAAATTTAGATATAGGTCCCATATATATCTTCGCCCGATTTGCCCCTTTTTGGGCACCAAACGTCTAATATTTGCCCAAATATTGTAGAATTTTGCACATACAACCAAAATAGGCTTGAAAATAAGTATAACAAATTTTATTGAAATCGGTTCAGATATAGCTATAGCTCCCATATATAACTTCGTCCGTTTATCAAATTTTATTGAAATCGGTTCAGATATAGCTATAGCTCCCATATATAACTTCGTCCGATTTACTCTTTTTTGTGCACCAAACGTCTAATATTTGTCCAAATGGGATGGAATTTGGCACTTACGACCGAATTGAGTCTAGAAGCTAGCATGTCAAAAAAAAAAGATCGGTTCAGATATAGCTATAGCTCCCATATATAATGTTCATCCGATTTGTTATATTTGTTACACACTGCCGTAATATGCACTCCGTAACAACGATATTCAGGGAAGTATATAAAATACCGCTCAGAAATATCTTTGCCAAATTTTATCGATTTTAGCTCCCATATATATCTTTATCCGATTTCAAATTAATTGTGCACCAAATGGGCAATACAAGTCCGAATTTAAAAGATACAAATGCTTCGGCATTTTGAGTCTTTTGAACTTTAAATTATAATTATAATCGTAGCGTGTATGATTATTATTATTCGATGAAGAAATATTTCATAATTAAATTTTTACTCAATGTTTTACTATGTTTTGAACTATGAAAAATATTTTCAGGCCGATGACGATGATGACGACATTGGTATGACCTCTGAGGAATTAATCGATGCCCTAGAACCTTTCGGTGAAAATTGTGACCCCAAACCGGACAGAGGTACATAAATGTGCTATTTATTTTATTCACCCGAATAAGTTAAAATCGAACATTTTCAGAACACATTAGGCAATTGATTAAGAACGACGAGAACCCCCATCAAAGCTCGAAGTGTTTCAGACATTGTCTCATGCATGAATTTGAATTGGTAAATATGGATATGCAAATAACTTGTAATTACACTGTTCCAGAACTGCAAGAATGTACAAGTTTTTACTAAGATAACCGATTTTCGCTTTACGATGACTAGAAAAAAAATTAAAAGCTAGTTAATTCTTGCAGTTCGGGAAAAGAGCAAATGAATACCTCTATTTAGAACTCATTAACAACTTTACTCATTAATTTATTTATATATTAATTTAATTTATTTGTCACTACACCGACGTAATTTGAAACATTTTAATTGTTATTTAAGTATTCCGTTTGCATTTATTGTATTCCGTTTGAAATTCTTTTTTCTTTTCCTTGAATTTTCGTTTTTGATGTGTCTATATTTGTAATTCGAAAAAATATAAAAAATCTTTTCTTTAATAAAAAATAGGAAAATTCGAATGGAACTATTTCATTATTTAATAGTTTAATTGTATTCCATTTTGGCCTACAACCTTTGTATTACTTCAATTATTTAATATTTTTCCGCTATTTCTATAAATTTCAAACACATTTTCAAAAGATTGCTGAGGGCTCAACAACATTGGACGAGGAAAAAACTGTCGATATGCTTTCTATGATGTACACCGATGGCAAGGACGACTTGGAAGAAATTGTGAAAATCTGCAACACAGAAAACGAGGGGATAGCAGAGAAGTAAGTATATCACCTCACATAGGAGACATAACGATTTTATTTCAAAAAATAATTCTAGATGTGAAAATGCCCACAGCCATGGCATGTGCATTTTGAGAGAGCTGAGACAGCGTAATTACAAAATTCCTCAACCAGGAAAATAAAAACCCTTACTTATCGCTGACCTCTAACCAGACTACCTGATATAGATCTTGAATACTGACTGGCCCCATGAATTTGTATATTGTTATGTAATTATAAACTAATATTCATATATTCAAAGCAGATTTATCATACGGTGCCTTTAGAAGCATTTACTTTTTCCGTTATTTATATAGACATTAGAGTAGCAAATTATACCAATACTTTCTACAAAATAAATTTACTTAGAAATGGTGTGGTTACAATTGGGAAAGCATTTTCATTTTACTTTTGGAGTCGACATAACCAAGTCTGCAATGCTAACGGGTATCTATCAAGCTGAAATTGCAAATAATACACGATCTCATAATTCCAAATCCAAAATTATTTGTTTTATTTAAATTCAAGTTCGAAACGTAGTTGACAAATGTTTTTGTATACATTACATCGTATATATAACAAGAAAGCATAGCAGTGCGGGGCCGACAATGTGATACCCTACGACACTACAATATGTTAGAAGCGCCTTTATGTCTAAAGCCAATTTGGAAGATTTCGCTTTCGATTTCGCTGCCCAGATATTACCCTTAGCATTTTTACCAGGGACATTTGTCCAATATTTACGCACTCCGTCGCGCAATGGTCATCCAAAACGCTAGAACTCTTCCCAGTCCTGAACTCTCTTCTCAAGCGTGTCGATTGGTTTCAATTGTGTGATCAGGAAATTTTTTCTGTTTTTGGTTCATTTGAAACCCCTAAATATTTTGCGGTCATCTCCAAAAGCAATAAATTTAGACTCATCTATATGATTTGCTTGTCTACGATATGTGGCTATATTCGTCAACGAAATCAGCATAAAAAGCCAGAAGTTCGCCTTTTTTATGTATTTTGGATATCGCCTGTAATTTATTTTCGGTAGAATAGTATGTATTTTTTTTTGTTTCGTTTCTATTTGTGACGTTTATAACGGCTGCAAAATCAGGAACACGTTTAGTTGTTTATCCATTTCAACTCCTAAATATATTGCGGACATCTTTGAAAACAATAGGCCTATCCCTTCTGAGAAAAAGCCTAAACTTGTGAAAATTTTCGTGAGGATAGGACGATAATTGCAATCTGTATATAATAACCCCAACCTGTGTTGTAAGGTGCAAAAATATTACAAAATATTCACTTCAATATTATAAGTCAAATTGAAAAAATCGCATGCGAAAAATTAAAAAAATGTCACAAAATACTACAAAATCTATATTAACATCATTACTGGCATCTTTTTATGCGATTTTTTAGTTTTTTCTTTTATGGCAAGAGAGAAAAAGAATTAAAGTATCTAAACTAAACTACAGTAAAGCTAAACAATACAAATATTAAATCATAGAAACTAAGTCTACTATTAACTATTTTATAAACTAAGAACGTAGGATAGAGTTTTTTATGACATGCAAGGATTCACACAAATAAATCGTGTTGTATGATTTCTTTGAATTTATTATAATCAGCATATAAACTTCGGAGAGGATTATTTATTTCATAGTTCGATTTTGCTAATGTTAGTTTAAGTGGTATCTAATAACGCGTATTTCGCGAGGGGACATTGAATTTAATTTCACCAGTTAAAAACTCAGAATCAATTTGACAACGCAAAAGTTTGATGATAAAAATACATCTAAGCATTAATCTCCTTTTTTCTAGTGTAGGAAGATCGATAAGTTTAAGCCGATTCTCATAAGGTGGGAGAAGTTCATTTGAATTCCATCCTAAACCTCTCAGAGCAAACAAAAGAAATTGAACCTGTACAGACTCTATCTTTTTTGAATATATTTTATAGAAAGGATTCCAAAGTATGCAGCCATATTCTAAAGTAGGACGAACAAGGCTGATAAATAAGCGTTTGGTCACATAAGGATCGTCGAATTCCTTTGACCAACGTTTTATAAATCCTAGTAAAGACTTTGCTTTATTAACACAAGACTCAATATGTAAATTGAAACGTAATTTATGTCTAATATGACACCAAGATCAAGAAATGAGTCAACATTATCCAATTTGTAAGAACCTACGAAAGGTACCAAGGTTCCATCTGTTCGAATACCCCGATATTACATGTTTAATATTTATTAACTTTTACGACTTTTTCATTATATCCAGCTCCATTCGTTCTCCAAAAACAATTGTACCAAATTTTGTAGCCAAACCTAATTCTCATAAAAATTTCGAGATTTTACCTATATTATGGAATATTTAAATCCGTTAATTCTGTTAAAATCTTAAAAATACCGAATGTGGCTGTTATATTAGGGTCTATACGACAACATGGACCTGCATAGGTAACATTTGCCATAAGCCATTACAATATTCAAATGTGAAACTAAAAAATCGGTGATAATGTAGATAAAATCATCAAAATACCGAATATCGGGAGTTACCCTTATATGGGGGCTATACAAAGACGTGGACCTGCACAGACAATCTCCTGTCATGGGCCGTAGCATCCATTACATATATCAAATACCAAATTTGAAACAATCCCGGTGAAAGGTGTCGCTAAAATGATCAAAATACAGAATATCAAGGATACCGTTATATGGGGGCTATACAAAGACGTGGACCTGCACAGACAATTTTCTGTCGTAGGCTGTAGTATCCATTACGAACTTCAAATACTAAATTTAATTTAATTCCGGTGAATAATGTCGCTAAAATCATCAAAATATCGAATATCGGGAGGTACCGTTGTATGGGGGCTATACGAAGACGTGGACCTGCACAGACAATCTCCTGTCATGGGCCGTAGCATCCATTACGTATATCAAATACCAAATTTGAAACAATCCCGGTGAAAGGTGTCGCTAAAATGATCAAAATACAGAATATCAAGGATACCGTTATATGGGGGCTATACGAAGACGTGGACCTGCACAGACAATTTTCTGTCTTAGGCTGTACAATCCATTACGAACTTCTAATACAAAATTTGAAACCATTCCGGGCTATACCAAAACGTGGACCTACATGGGCCATTTTCAATACCAAAAGTCCTGCAGATATAATATACATTTGAGTAGAATTTTATCAACCCACATCATTTCGTTCGGAAGCTAGAGTGAGTTCCACAGACGGACAGACAAAGAATCATATTTGTATTATATATATATACTAGCTGGCCCGGACCGCGTTGCCGGCCCGTAGTTTTTGTCTATTATGCATATTTGTCAAAGCATAATTATTCACAGATATGACTAATATAAGTGTTCGCGTACTGGTCGATTAAAAGTGTTTTAAAATACCTGTACCCATATTTAAGCCGTGGGCTTCAATATTTAAACCGTGGGCTTCAAAGGTGTGGATGTGCTATACAAATCTATTAAAAAGTATATATCAATCTTATCCCCATGTAAGGGATCAAACTAATTTTTAGTATGGTACAAATCGTAGCAAAATATTCCAGTCAAATGAGCAGTAATTTGGAATTTGCTGCATTTTGTACACCTCATAATTGAGGGCTGAATGAATTAAGAATAGCCAAAGTTAAATACTATTTTAAAGTCATTAGCACCTCAGATTGTCCATTAGAGTTCTTATAAGTCCCCCTAACCATGTCGGTGTGTTTGTCCGCCAAAAGGTGGACTTGAGGGGGTACTATTATATGGAAAAAATTCTAAAATTTGTAGATATGTTGAAATTTTTGTGAAGGATTTTCACCCCCCAAATAGACATTTTTAGCCAAATCCTTTGAAATATGGTAAAATCAGGAGGTACCTTAGAAACAAAGATGCCAAATAAGGGCCAAACAATGAAAAAAGTGGCCAAGACCCCAAAAATAGCTTAAATCATATGATGGTTATATAAATATGAAATCGGGATGTACCTTTATCGTGAGTTAGTAATCGATATCATGACCTGCAAAAGTGATTTAAGGTATCTTGAATGATTGTGAAGAATTTCTGGAAAGATAGATAACCTTTTCTTACTAAGAGTCCCATTCGCTCTATTATTTTGCACCCTTTATATTTGGTATTTTACTGATTGTACTCCCAAAGAATTTTGCATTTTGAGCTCTCATTGGACGGATTGTCACATAAATGAAGTAGGTCCACGCTTTGAAATGAGCTCCATTAGGCTTCTTCTGTAATTTTTGGTTGTTTAAATGTGTTCGCATCTTCCATCTGAACCACGATGTCGGCCCTGTAGTTGAAAGGTAGATGTCAGTTAGCATTTCGCACTTATTTCATTTCTTTGGTGAAAAATTATATATAGTGAAAAATTATTCTTTATTTTGTTCACAAAAAATCCACTGAATTCAATATGATATTACAAATTGAAAAAAAAAAATGACAAAAGAAGAATAACAAATTGAAAAAATCTTCATCTTGTTCGCTGATTTATTACAGCAAATTTTTAAAGACCCTTACTATTATTTTAAAATTCGATTCCACTGAAAATTTTTTCGATTTTTTCCCGATTTCAGAATTTTTGCAATGAGATCTCTTTTTCGTGATTTTTTAGCGATTTTGAAAAAGTAATTATCTTTTAATTAATAATTATCTTTCCTTTGGTGTGACCGCGTTAAATTATTTCGATATCATCTATTCCGTTTCGCCACCATATAATTCGGTACTACACTTCCATGTAACCCGCCATCAATTTCAGTTCTCAAAAAATCAAGTAAATTAAATAAATTGGTTTTACTATTCGAATTCAAAAATAAAATATAAAAAACTCTACAAATGTACATTAGAAAAAAGTAAGTCAAAATGGAAAAAAATCATGCAAAACAAAACATTACTATTGTACATTTCAAAAGTCAAAATGAAAATATTAATATATCACATTTTTACGCAATTTTTTTGGATATTATCCTTTTCGGAGAGGAGACAATTCAGAATTTGTGTGAATCGTTAAAATCAGTCCAGCGGTTCTTAAGTTATATGCGTAGTAACTAACACAACTTACATTTATATATATATATATATATATATATATATATATATATATATATATATATATATATATATATATATATATATACTAGCTGGCCCGGTCCGCGTTGCCGGCCTGTAGTTTTAGTCTGTAATGCAAATTTTATATAGCATAATCTTTCACAAATCTAGCTCATAAAAGTGAACAAATTTTAATATAAATATTGATCCGACTAAATAGAAATAAATACCTATGGAAGGAGGGCAAAATAATT